AACAGGCATCTTCTGAGGATTGGTCGGGCGGGCTCCCCGCCCGGGCCCCTGCTTGCCTGAACGGCCGTGGAGATGTGTCTCACCTCGGACACACCACCTCGGGTCCCGAAGGATGCCGGCGACCGGGGCTCCTTCGTGGCCTTCGCCCACAGCGTCCTGGACTGGTGCCTGATCCAGATGAAGACCAAGGCGTCCGGGGAGGTGGTCCCGCCGCGGCCGGGCCCGCCGGAGGACCGGGCCCCGCCGGAGGCCCCCTCGCCGGAGAGGCTGACGGCCTTCTCGCTGGAGCTGGCCACGCTCTGCTCGTGGCTGGATCTGCACTCGGTCTTGTATGGCCGGCGGCTGGCCCTTCTCAGCCAGTACCGGCGCGGCTTCAAGGCGGCCTTCCCCCATGCGGAGGCCGGGCCTCGTGACGACCACGGCCGGCTGCCCCCCACCTCGTCGGTGGTCGCAAACCACCTGTATGACCTCCTGCAGCGGACTCGGCTGTGATCGCCGGCCGCCTGGCGGAGGGCCACGCCGCGCCCCCCCCCCCCCCCCCCCCCCCCCGCCACGGGTGCCCGCGCTTTCCGGGCCCCCACGCGGCCGTCCCCTTGACTTCCGGCCGGGCCTCGCACATTCCAAGCGCATGCATGTCTTCCCGCCAGGCTGCGGCACCCGGCGGAATACATCGACAATTCGAGCTTGCTACTTCTTTGCCATCCGGGCGCCCCCTTGTCGATGGGAGGGCCGATGTGCCGGGCCCGGTCGATCCGCTCGACGCGCATGCCTCCCCCTCGCACCCTTGGTGGCTTCCCCCTGCCGGCCGGACAATGGCCTGCCCCGTCGGGGTCCCCAGTCGCTTCGAGCAGACGGACTGCCCCTGGCATGGGGCCTCCCCTTGGGCCATGGGGGGGGGGGGGGGCGGTCAGGCGTCCGGCGAGGACTAGAGCGCCTCCCCTCGCGGGGCCGGCTCCCCTGCTCCTGGGCCCATTATGCCCATCGTCGGGGGCCCCGAGGCGCGAAAAGACCACCCTATCACGGGCAACATGCGCTCGGACCGCACAGCACCAGGCTGCCTCGGCCAGAGGGACCCGCCGGCGCGCCAAAGCACACACACCCACACCAATCACCCGCACAGCATGCGCCTGCTGGCGCATGCAGGCCCACTGCCCGTCGCCCAGCCTGGCCCGCGCCCGGCTCCGGCCCGACAAACACGGAGGCCGACCGACCGGCGGCCAGATCCCCACACACGCTGGTGTGCGTGCCCGGCATGCACACACACACACACACACACACACACACACACACACACACATACATATATATATTTATATATATATTGATGTACTCCGATGGAGGCATGAATATCCGCATTCACACTTGCAGGGGCATGTCGTGCCGACAGCGACATGTGGGGCGCATTAACTGTATATTTAACCGAGACGGAGGCGCCGAAGATGGCAGACCCCCACCATTTGGGCCGCGGCCCCGGCGAGACTGAGACATCTCGCCATCTCGCGTGAATGGGGCGCGGGGCCTGTCAAATGCATTTCCCAGGTTCTATGTTATTGTTGTTGTTGTTTTTTTTTGTTTTTGTTTTTTCCCCCCCGCGCTGTCAATTCCGCCCCGCGCCCCTTCGTTCCCCTCCGAGGCACGAACACACCGCGCACAACCGGGCGGAAAGCCGGATCTTGCAGATGAAGGACGGGGAAACCACACGATGCCGTTGCTCCCCGGGGTGCCCGGCCTTGCGGGGCGTGCTTGCCCTGGAGGGAGGTGCGTTGGAATTTCCCCGGCTCCAACCCCCCTTCGGGACCTACGACCAGGCGAACAGGCTGCCCCAAGCTATGGAGGACCTCGCCCCTGCATTGTGACCCAGGTGTCCAAGATAAGGGGTACCCCGGTGCTCGGGGGCGAGTGCCTGAGGACACGGTCTCGCATTAAGTTGGGTCGGTCAGCCGTTCGGGGGCCAGGCCTGGACTGCCTGTCAAACGGCCAGGTCTGAGTGCAAGCGCGTGTGCCCGTGTCTGTGTCCGTGCCGGGGGGGGGGGTGGGGGGGGGGGTCTGACCGGCGGATTGTTGGGAGTACCTGGGAGTGGTTCTTTCCCCACAACCATATGTCGGCTCACTCTTCAACAGGCATCTTCTGAGGATTGGTCGGGCGGGCTCCGTGCCCGGGCCCCTGCTTGCCTGAACGGCCGTGGAGATGTGTCTCACCTCGGACACACCACCTCGCCGCTGTGGCTCTTTCTGCATCTGCGCCCTGTCCCTGTATCTGCGCCCTCTTCTTGGGCATTTTCATCGGGTAGGCCTGCCGCCCATGGTCACACCTTCTGGGTGAGTATACTGGGTGCTGGGATCTGATTGTGTGTGTGTGTGTGTATGTGTGTATGTATTCGTGCGCGTGTGCGTGTGCGTGTGCGTGTGCGTGTGCGTCTACATGCGTGCGCGCGCGCGCAAAGCGGCCTTGCCTTCGTGTCCGCCCCACCCGCTCAATATGCTGCCATAGGTTCCCGATCGCGTGCTGCCCCCCCCCCCCCCCCTGGCATGTCGGCCTGCTTTCCGGGTAGTGGAGCTACTTTCGTGGCCCGAGGGCCTCGCCCATGTCCGCTCCCGGGGGAAGGATAAAAGGCGTGGGAGGGTGGCTCTTCGCCGGGAAGGAGAAAGCGCCATGTGCTTTGCAATTTCTTGCATACCTACCTCCCCTTTCCTTTCCCCCTGGGTTGCTTGCATATTCACTTGTCAGGCCTCCCCTCCTCCCCCCCTTCTCTCTCTCTCTCTCTTGAACCATGGGCATTTTTATGCTACCCAGCCACCTCAAGAGCCGGGCCTCGAAGAAGAGGTTGGCCAAGCCAAAGGCCGCCGACCAGGCGACCTCCGGCGAAGAGTGCCCCTCCAGTGCCTCGACCTCTGGCGACATTGCCTCCGAGGGCGATGACGAGGGCGGCACCGAGGACCATGACAGCCCCAAGGACGAGGACGATGATGACCAAGACCGCGGCCTCGACCACGACTACGATGTGAGTGATGACGACGATGAGCATAGTGACGGCTTCTGCGCCAGCCACTTCGGCATGCGAGTTGCCAGGCTGGCTCCGAGTGACTTGCCGGGGGATGATTTGCTGAGCGACGAGTTCAGCATGGACAACCCGATCCTGGGTCCTTTCAGCTCCGACCCCGATGATGATGACGCCGAGGACGAGGACGAGGAGGGGGATGATGTCCACGAAGACGCGGCAGATGACCACGGCGACCTTTATCCCGCCTGCCCTTACGCCGAAGGCTTGCACTCCGACGACTCGGGGCTCGGCGATATGGATATCGAGGACTCCGACATGGAGGACTCCTATCCTGAGCACTCGCTGTCCGAGGACATGCTGCCCGAGGACATGCTGCCCGAGGACATGCTGCCCGAGGACATGCTGCCCGAGGACATGCTGCCTGAGGACTTGGCCACTGAGGACTTGGCCACTGAGGACATCGACATGAGCGATGATGAGGAGTATCCCGAAGCCATCGAGGACACTGACCGTGAGGATGCCGACAGCGCCGATCTCCCCGAAAGCACTGACAGCACTGACAGCACGGAGGACACCGACCCCGAGGGCGTGGAGCAGGCCCCGGCGGAAGGCCTCGACGCCGGTGACCCGGCCAAGCCGAGCCCCAGCCGGACAAAGCCCCAAGCCAAATGGCGGCCCGCCGCCACCTCGGAGTCCATCACGGATCCCTTCCAGTATTTGCACTTCAAGCAGTCGAACAAAAACGGCCCCACCGTCCTACCGGTGGATCTGAACAACATGCTCTACGAGATGATCCTGTCGAGCTTCCTCTATCTCGACCAGCGCCGGAGCATCGGCTACGACTCGCACTTGGTCACGCACTACCTCGACGCGCTGGTCGACTGGCTGGCTCGGAACAAGGTGCGCCCGAGTTGGCGGCCACACTGCGACGGGCCGTGATGCGGCAGGAGCCCTAACCCTCGCTTGTCCCTGCCCCCCCCGCCCTCCCCCCACCGCCACCACATCGACACGCACGCACACATGCACGCCTCATGCTACACGCATGCACCCATGACCTTGTGACGTCCAGTGGTACCCGGTTTTCGTGATGGACGGGCTGAAGCCCCTCAAGAAGGACGCCACCACCAAGAACCGCAAGGAAACCAAGACCCAGTTCTTGAACAACCGCCTGACCGACTACCTGGAGCAGTACAGCAACCAGGACTACGAGGCAGCCGCCTTGCACCTCCAAGGCACGAACCACAAAGAGGAGTGTTCGCTGCGCAAGTGCGGCCTTGACTGCATGACAAGGAAGCTTCCCATGCACCGGAACAACTGCTGCGAGCAGGCCGGCTGCCGGCCGTCCTGCCCTGTGCGCAAGCGCCTGGCCAAGCCCGAGGACCCGGACAATCGCTACTACCGCACGCCATTGCCCTTCAGCCATTGCGTGGAGTTCGTCAATGTCTGGGCCATTGCCCAGGGGCACCTGGCCACCATGGCCCGCGCGAAGCCCAAGACCCTGGCCTTCATCGGGTCCTTCTCCCAGGCGGACGACGTGCTGTCGCTGTTGAGCTTGCACTTCCATGTGCCGGTGCTGAGGTATGTTTCCCCGAGGGGGGACCCTTGTGGCCTCTGGCCGGCGGTCCATGACAAGGGCACAGGCACCACCGGCCAGGGCCGTGGGCGCCGCTGGACCAGGCTCTCGCTGACCCTCCTGCCCCTTTTTTTGGATCTGCCCGGCGCCCGGACCCCGGGGGCTCGGTGGCCACACCGCAGCAACGACAAGGACTTCGTGGTTCATGGCTACGGCCAGATGAAGATGTCCTACCTCTTCCAGAAGCAATTTACTCTCCAGCTGGCGGACCACGGGCCGAAGTTCAAGAACCTGCCGGGCGACGAGTCCGGCAGGTGCCATGAGACCATCTTCCAGCAGCTTTTGATGAAGCACCTCGGCATCAAGTGTACGCTGCCCGAGCATTCCCGCGCATGTGTGGCCGTCGGGCATTTCACGCGGGAGCCCGGGGCCCGGGGCCGGGGGGG